CAACCTAATCATCAAACCAGTGCGGTTCACATGTACCGCAGTGATGAGAACGATGACGATAGTTCTGACGATGGCACTTTGCTTCTGCACTCAGGAAGCTGTACCGCTGCGGAATCCCTATCTGTAGTCTCCACATGTAGTTCTCCTTTTTTCAGTTACTTTATAGGATCCTAATTATGCAGCTGGTTAAAACCCAAAAGGGGCTACAGACCCTGAGCCCGAACCCAGAGGGTCCATGTACTCATATAGTATATACACTGGCCTTATTAAAGTACTCCCTATATAGGTACATTGGGCCCAAAGTATAGCTATATGGGTACATGGACCCTAAGGTGGGATGAAGGTAGGTGGGATTAAGGATCCCTTATATAAGGACTCGTATCTGTGAATATCCCACCTACCTTTATCCTACCTTTTGAGGCCCCCGAAACCCTAAACCCTAAACCCTAAACCCTAAACCCTAAACCCTAAACCCTAAACCTTAAACCCTAAACCCCTAAACCCCTAAACCCCTACGAGGCTTATATAACCCCAAGGCTGCCGCGCTACCTGCAGGACTCTTCACACTCGGCGACTGCCAAGCCGAATGCACCCGGCAGCCTCTCTGCCAAGGCTCCGAGGAGAAAGGGGACTCTGTAGGGCCCGAAAAAAGCACATAAGCAAAGATAAGGATAGGGATATCCCATATAAACCCCCTTATAATGAAGCGAATTAAGGCAGGGATATCCCTATACAATGTTTATGCATTATGTGTCCCTGAACTCTGCGCTCACCGGTTCGTTATGGATGAACCGGGGTCATGGTTTAGTCCATGTTTATTTTGCACTGGCAGTTGGAGCAAGCTGCTTTGCGTGTCGGGGCTTAAGTACTGCGGCATGTCAGAATTAAATGCTTCAGATTTGTCCAGCTGTTTCGAGGATAGCATGCAGCCCGATTGCATCGTGGCGCATGGAGTGAATCCAGAAGCGAACATGATACGAATGTCGTTGTGTTGCCAAGTTACCTCGTGACTTCAGAGAGACCAGGACCTTGCATAGAGCCGCAGCGTGTGGTCGCGTGGTATTTGAGACCTCATACCCGAAACCCCACCGGAAAGATCGCGAGCCCATCACCTTGTGCCGTTCAGCTCCCGAGACTCTCTAAGGAAAACAAACCGAAATCCAATCTCAATTGAGGTTGAGAGTGTAGGGTTCCTCTGCCGCGCAGGTGTCGAATTCAGCCCAAACCGCTGCGAAATCTGGACTCGAGCAGAAGGCCAGTTCAGTCTGAGTGACAAAACAGTTTGGGAGGGGTTTACGGAGTCTGCAACATCCCTAAACTACACATAGCAAACCCCTCAACCCTTGCGACTCTCTTACTCAGGATGAATAGTTAGTGAAGACAAAGACACGTTTCTGACGGCATACCATGAGGAGCTTTAAGTCATGAGTTCCATCAACTGGCTTGATGCGTTGTCACTAGCTAGTCCTCATATCCCAGAGCCCTAACCCTAAACTTCATGACTCGTAAGCCCTACAAAGCTTGTAAGCAGACCTACTGCTGCTGCCATGATGATTGCCCTAATCCCATATAGACCCTAGGTCCTAAACTCTAGACTGCACACCAAAAGGCCCGCAAAAGAATACGACAAGCATCTACCTAAAGTCTGCATTGTAGTTATTCTTTGCTTAACCAGTTCTATGGTGAGGATCCAAAAATAGAGATTTTGGTTAACCAAAAAAAAGGAACTACAATGGAGACTATAGGTACGGTTGATGGTATAAATCCTGCATGACCCATAATAAGGAACATGCCACAATTCCCATAGTTTAGGGTCCTTAAGGTAATGCAGGATTTATATCATCAGCCGTAGAACCCAAACCCTCTTCCCTCCGTCGCCCGGAGGCATCGAGGCTTCAGCTCCGGTCTCGGGCTACAGCTGCTACCGCTTCCTGGATCCGAGATGCCCGGCATAAAGTCACAGGCCCTAAGGGTCCATGTACCCATATAGCATATACTTTGGGCCCAATGTACCTTCGTGGGGAGTACTTTAGACCCAATGTATATGCCATATGAGTACATGGACCCTTAGGGAGGGTTAATTAGAATAGGGTTTTGGGGTGGCCCATTATACTATAAGTATAATAAGGAACCACAAAATAGTATAGGTAATTATTTCGGTGGCCTTCAACCATCATAGGAGGCCAAAAGGGGTTTTGGCCTATGCGGGTTTCGTAGGGACTAGGGTTCCCATAATAGGGTTCATATTAAGGAATCCCTACCCCAAGAATCTTAAGCCCCCCTTTTGGCCTCCCATCGTCAAGATTTCTGGGCTTGAAGCCAATGAAACCATATCGTGCAGGTGTTATGTCGGGGGTCTGGTGTTCTCTTTAACGCACCTGCGTATGTAAATTTCACATCGTGAAGCACTGCGGTCAAGACGCTCGTTGGGCTTTCAGTCGGATTTGTCGCGTCTTTATTTTAAGCACAGAAGGCCCTATCCACAGTTTCTTTCAGGCTTGGCATGCTTTTTGCCGTGGTCGCCTTCGTTCCATTTGCTTGGAGCTTGGGAGCACTCAGGCATGTCGACGACGACCCCATACCCTCCTGGATCCTTTGAAGCAGCCGCTCTGCTCGACTTGGCTTGAGGATTTCATGTTTAGGGCTTGTGTGTGTGAGTGTGTGTGCTGGGGTGTTGGAGGCAGGGGCAGGGGGTTCTTCACTGACTCAGCCTCCCAAGCTGATTCCTATCTATATAATTTAACATCAGACCTGAAGCCTAGGTCCAGAGTTGCAAATCTCGTTGTCCAGGTGAATGGCGGCAAGGACCAGGCGTGCCGAGGAGCAAGTGCATCGGACAACAGGCTCCGTTCCATTGGCGTTGTCTCCCCCGAATCTCTGAGATAGGGGCCACTTATGGGAGTTTCCGAAAATAAGGAACCCTAATATAGTACCCTAAATAGTAGGATACTTATTATGAGGACCCGAATAGAAGGTACCCCTGATTGTTGGGAAACTCCCTGATGGCAACTAGGCCTATCTCAGTCTTGGTGAGATTTTGCAGGCAGGAACGAAAGAGAAGGGAGAATTCCTGTGTTGACTTCGAGATATGAAGAGGAGCTGCTGCTGTTCAATTGCGTTGCGCCTGTGGCAGAAGTGCTGCTATGTGGCGTTTCCGAAAATAGGGCACCCAAATATAGTACCCAAAATAGTAGGATCCTTACTATAAGGACCCCAAAAGCAGGTACTCCTAATTTTCGGAAACTCCTATGACGAGGCCGAGCTACTTCGACGTCATCCATGGGGTCTCGAGCATTACAGCCTGTAAGGCCGAGTGCATGAAGGAAGCATCATGCACCGGAATCGATCCTTGGCTTATGGAATCAATGCTAACACTGGGGCCTTCATAATTAAACCAGGGTTCCGTTTAAGCGGCTCCTATTAAGGGGTCTATAATGGGGTTCTATGATATATATATATATATATATATATATAGTATGGGGGCCTTCATAATTAGAACAGGGTCTTGGGGCCCATTATACTAGAAGCCCCTGGACCAATTACCATTACAACTATCTTGTGATTTATGCTCGGGCCCGCCATGATCTTTGTGCGGGCTCTCTCAAACCATTGCTGCGCCTCCTGCCGCAGGGCCCGGCTGAACGTGCCCACACGTACATCCCGATAGCAAGATGCCACTGTGAAGTTGAATCTTTCGGATCAGTTTTGGGGATCAACGGGGTGCATGCGACAAAATCTTCCACATGTGTAGCTGCGCATTAGGGCACTGTGGCGCCCGCTCGAAATCTCGAGCTGCCATGAACTCCGCGTTGAATCCCGTGTCAACGCTGTCGCTTCTCCACCATGCTATGGAAGCAGCTGCGAAAGTCGAGCAGGGCGTCAAGATGCAAGACGCATGTTTTCCGGCCCGGCAGATGATGGAGGAAATGGAAAAGAACAAACTCATTAGCCATTCAACCTTTGCTCGAATGAAGGCCTTGCTGGAAAAGTTTGCAATTTACCCCGATGTGCTCGGGGCCGTTGCCAGAGCCTCAAATGACACAATGAGGCAATCGCACCTGCCAGCTGCTTTGGATTTTGCGGAGGCGTTACCCAAACTTGGAGCTACAGCAGCTACACGATTATTTGTGAAAGAGCAGCTTCTGCAAGCATACCATGTGGATTGGAAAAAGTATGCTGCTCAATGGAAAAGTCGCAGAGACAGGCTGACTGGCTTGCTTGAGCAACACAACAACACAGTTCGAGCTGCAGCACGCCTCACCCGGCCTGACGACGACTGCCTTGATCCGCAAAAGCTACCACGTATGACAGAGTTTCTTGCAGAGGTGATGCGTGTTCAGTTGGCCGGCTATTGCGGTGAGAGGAACCACTGCGACCCATATGTTCTGTCAAAGTACCTGAAGGCATTGCGATCGGTGCGCAGCTCCATCATGCAGGAGTTTACTCGGCAATGTGGAACCAAGTGAAGCTTTCGTTCTCGAATGCACAGTCCTAATTTACTACCAGGAAGTTTTCGCAGTCCCTGCCTCTTACATACTTGTCAAAGAAGAGATAAAGTAGTGTTTGTAAATGCAATATCCCGCAAAGTACCTGATGCGGTAGGTTGCTTCCCAGCATTATGCCTCCTTCTGGCAGTTGGTTCAGGAGCTGAAGGAGATGAGTCCGCAGAACAAGCGGGTGGCTGTTGGCATGCTAGCAGTGCACCTCTCATTGCCTGCACTCCGCTTCCATGACTCTGGATGTTGCAAACCACACACTCAATTCACCGATCCGTGTTGCGAAGCGTGTCTTGCGCGTGCAAAAGCGAGCTTTGAGAAGAAAGCAGGTGAGTCTGGCCTTTTGTCTTGGTTTCCCCGTCCTGCAGAATCCGTTGACATCGCTGCCAAATTGAAGAACATGGCTCCTCAGATCCTTAGGCGCTGAGCAGGCAACCTTTAAACTTTTTGGGTAATATAACCAACCATGAACTAAAAGGTTGGCTTTTTTGGGGTCGGGATACTCAGCCCCTAAGGATCACCTACTTGCTATCCCACATGAGAAGTGGCTGGTGGGATCCTGACTTGACGGCTCGCGAGATCCTATTTCAGGAAAAGATCTTCAACAAGAGCTTCTTCCGGCAGCTGCAGGATTGCGAGGAATGCGCACAGGTTCTCGAGCTTTCTGTGGTCGAGGAGGAGAAGCAGAAATGCCGCGCAGTTCGTGACCTGCGCAACTTATTGACCGGAAGTGTCAACTCCAATGAGTTGAAGATGCCCAGGATGCAGCCTTTCTTGGATGAGCTAAAGATTGGGCTGTTGGATGCAAATCTTCTCGCAGCCATTTCGTCGAAAGATGAGCACATCAGCTGGGGCGAGACAGACTTCGTCAAGAAGGCGATAGGTGATATTCTCAGCGCGACGAGGCCAGGATGATCAGCGAGTTGTCTTCCATAGTCCTACAATGCACGCCCGAATAGCCATGACTTGTACTGACGTGTCTTTCTGCTTTTGCGAGAACAGTTGGGAAAAGTCCAGATGGCAGCAACTCTCATGGCAGATTGTCGATGTCTGGGCTTAAGAGTGCAAGTTTGAAGGCTCACCCTAGACGTCAATCTCTAATGTGTGGCCGAAGTCTACTGTCCACAGGCACTATGCCATTTCCAACCAACCCGCTCTGCATCGCTCTGCCCGATGATGCCGTGGACCTGCTCAAGCCCGAGGACTGGGTCTGCCAAGTTGCAGTTGCTTTCAGCGATTCTAGGAGTGTGTGTGTGTGTGTGTGCCATATTGTCTTTCTTCTGTTCATACTTGTTCTACCATCGCCGCCTTCGTGGTGCTTGTGTTATGGTTGTTCTTGCTGTTTATGGTTGTTGCTACACGTCTGCCCTTAACTTAGCGTGCTAGTCGGAGTTGTGAACTTTGCACATGCATCAGGCGGAAAGGAGGAACCCATGTGAACACTCCCTAAGAGCCCATGTGCCCAAGTAGTGTGTACTTTGGCCACGAACTACCTATATAGGGACTACTTCAAAGATTAAGTATGTGTTATTTGGGTACATGGACACTTAGGGACTCGAACCGAAAGACCTCGGAGGTCGTGGAGGAGCGGGTCAAGGCCGAGCGACGAGCCCTCGAGGCCGATTTCGAGCGCCGCGTGCGGCAGCGCACGGAAACTTGCGACCAGAGTCGTCCATTCCTTAGAGCTCTTGTTCGCTAAATCTCAAAATTCATGAACATCAATCAAATCAGCATAAAGAAGTATAAGTAGTATATAAGTCGTAGGAGTTATGGGGGCGCCCTTCTTGCCGATCAGCAGCTGATTGAACGAATGGAGCAGCTCCAGGCTCGTTTTCAGGTTGAGTGGAAGAGCTTGCTCAGGTGATACGAGCTACTGTCAGGATTATGACATCGGTTCCCCGCTGGGTTCTGCCTTGGTGTATGCCTGCTGGTTTAAGTTCAGTATGCAAGTTCATGTTAGACAGATTGACACTCGCTCAAAGCTGGTTGGGCAAACGGCTAGCGAAGCCGCCGGGGTTTGCCAAATGACCCAGATGGGATGAGACGTCAAGTTCTTGAGTTGCCTAGCTCGATCGTTTATATCGCACGCGAGCTAAACACACATTTCCAAGTGCTTGATGTCCAGGGAAAGCAGATGCAGGGGCAGAGCATGTGCGCGTGTCAGCGATTTGAAAAAGATGCATACCTGGAGGACCACGTGATGCCCCGTCAGGGGCATGATGCAATGTTGAAAGTCCTAGTGTGCGCTGTTGCGGTATACGTATACACCCTTAAAGACACCCTTAAAGCCCAGGCACGAAACTGTCTGTCTGGGAGTCGAAGCTTCGTAGCAGGACTCGAAGTACCAAAGCCGAAGCTGTACCGCAATCTCACTTCGGGACAACGCTCCACCTTGGACAAGGTCTGGCGCACTGAATGGCAGTTTCTGGGGACTGTTCCGTACCCTTGGATGCATGTGAAAGGCTCATCAGGGCCATGATCGCGATTTTGCTTGATCTAGGATGGTCCGTCCCGCGGCTTTCTTGTTGGCTGGATGACCTTGGGGAAGAGTTTCCGTGTGTTGGGAGTGATCCCTACAGTGTTTGTTGTCTGTGGCAGCGGATGGAGCAAACCATCTGCAGACAACAGGCCGAGCAACTTGCTGAAAGCTTGAAGACCGTTAGGTTGAAAGAGGGCTTTGATGTTAGTGTTGCAAAGAAAATGCGTGCCAGGATTTGCAAGCATGCGCCTGATGAAGTGGGTTTGTTTGATTCCGCGGCACAAGGTACCCTGCATGGCCTAGCCCATGCCACGCAGGAATGTGCTTGCGGAGCAATACATCAGGATCCGGACGACATGTTTCATCATTGGTTGTGGGAGTGTCCGCTTGTCTTGAAAGCACTGGGACATCCAGCGCCGGATTGGTATTTGCATCACCGAAAACCCGAGCAATGGTGTTTCTGGCATTTCGGTGTAGTCCCGCTTGAATGGACTAGCTTGCCACCCTTGCTTGAAGAAGTTGAATGTAGTGGCATTTTTGCTGAAGCATGGCCGGTTGAGCTTGAGCCGGGTGTTATTCTTGCAACTGACGGCAGCGGGGGTCCTTTCACTTCTAATCCGCGGAAACGGCAATGTGCTTGTGCTGTGGTTGCGGTTGTATGTCGAGACGATGAGTTCGTTGAAGTTGGGAGCTTGGTTGCCAATGTTGCGGGTGGATGTGCGCAGCAGACTGTACCTCGGGCTGAAGTTTTGCTCTTCAACTTGCATTGGAGGCGACAACGTCCCGGCACGGTCTGACCATTGCTGTTGACGCCAAGTATGTTGTCCAGCGATTTCGTGCACATGATAGCTTTGTCCCTTTGAACTGCAGGAATGCCGATGTTTGGGGTCGCATCCATGTACGGCGATCACAACATGAGCATGTGCAGCCTTAGTAAAATCAAGAGCCACCTCAGTAGGGTTTGGGACGGACAACTTATTGCAGTGGTTTGGAAACCAAAGGGCTGATGCCTATGCTACTGCCAGGGTTGTCGTGCTGGCACAAAATGCGGCACCCCATTATGTTTACATAGATTGGCATGACCGTAGGACGGAGGCTGTATGCGATTGGCTTTGGAAAGCCACGAAATTCCATTTGCAAAACAAGCAGCAGCTTGTGGGAAAACCTTGTGGGCCTAGAAAGGCTACTCGGGCAGAGTTGGTGAGGGATTCGCAGATGCTCTCCCCGACCCATTTCTGGACTCATGATGCTGAAGGGGATGGCCAGTGTTTCTGGTGTAAGCTGCGATTGAAGAGGCTGGACTCCTGCGCAGCCCTCCGGGCCAAGCTTGAAATGCCTTGTGTTTGCTCGGGCGGGTGTGCTGATCAGCTTAGGCGTGCATCGCAGTCATTCTTTCCAGATTCGGGGTCAGCAATTGTTTTGTGAGCAGTGCCGTAGGCAGAGACCTGTTCACCGCCTGGAGGTTTTCAGAAGATGTTGCCCTAAAGAGGGCAGGCACCGGTAACTGTTGGTGTAGTCTTCAGTTGTCTTTGGAAAAAAAAAGGTACCAAAACCGACAAGAAACGTTGCCAGAGTCTTGGGTTTTGGGCTCGGCAGGTAGAATAATAGGGGGCCCTCAATACTTACCAACATATTGTAGGGGTTCCTTAGTATGGTTATAGTATAATATACCTCCAAACCGTATTCTAATTATTAAGGCCCCTATATTTGGACGTTTGTTGAGAGCCAGATTTGAAATCCGCAGCCCTGAACTGAGGAGTACAGCCCTGGCCGCTGTGAAATTTGGACCCGCGCTGCCGGCATCGAAGCATCCATCACTCTCAGTGGCCTCTCGTCTCCGCTCAAACATGTTGAGCCAGAGGTTTCAACAACTTTGAGTTATAGTTTGTTTGGTGCGTGAGTTTGTGGTTATCGAACCTCTTGGCTGTGTGTAGGCATATATATATATATAACACATCAAATACACTCTACACTTCCAGTTTGTGGCTAAATTATAATCTGGTGATGGTCATAATTAACGGTGGTAATGTTGAATTCTGAAGCTGAAGACGCATCGCCCCAAAGCACCGGGTTGCAGCCCTACACTGTTTGTTGCCTGAGCCAGGGCATTCGTGTTGACGTTTCAAGGCTTCAGGTTGGAAACTACGAACTGCGATGTTATGCGATGATACTTGAAGCATGCGGGTGCAACATTCATGGGGCCAACCGTGCCGGGAAGTCTTCACATACGGCATAAGTCCTTTAGGCAGTCTTCGGTGTCGGGGATTTAGGTCATTGGGGCTTGGGGGTAATTAAGGACAACTTTTCAACTGACATGCCTGATCCCTTCCAAGAAAGTTCGCACCCCCAGGTTTCAATTGCTGGCGTCGAACGGAGGTCGCTTGTGCTTCATGTTCTGGTCAAACTGTCCTGTGTCGCAGTTTGGGATTTGGGGTTTTGGTGTTCGGGCTTGGGGTTGCTTTGATCCTTGTAGTCGAGTAGGTACTTTTTAACCTTCTTTAGGTATTATAGGCCCTAGATAATCTCTATATAACCAAAAAGGTTAACCTGACCTTTAGTTCCCGTGATACCCGACAAGTAGGTGATTGATCGTACTTTGCTGCAGCTTGACGCCTTTGACTTCAGAGCCTGCGTTTTGTCTGGCTAGGCCCTTTAGGGACCCCGACTGCTGCGATCTCCCCCGGATCCAGGGGTTAGCATGACTGTGATCATGATCATTGTTATTTCAACTATTACTAGTACAATTAATTACCATTACCATTTTTATTTCTATCTCTTCGTTTTTGGTTTCTGTTCTGTCGACAAAGCCACCAGGTGTTACTAGGTTGTTCAAGTTCCGGTTGAACCCCAAACCCTAAACGGTGCCGCGGAGAAAGGGCCGGTGAACTTGAAAATGCCCTGAACTGGGAGGAGCCTGGCGTGCGCTCTTGCACTGCATCGAATGGTGAGGGAGGTCGGGCCCTGGTCGCAGCAGATGGGTAGCCGGGTAGATGAAGTGGCTTACAGGGCCCATTGTAGGACCATAGTAGTATAGTATTTTAGTATTGTAGTATATTATATGGTATTGTATGACAGTACAACAAGATTTATTCGGGTATTTTAGCAAACTGCCTTATGCTGTTACAGCTTGCAGTCTCAAGAAAGCATACTCCTCGTTCGGCATGCTGGTTGCGAAGTCGGCTGCGAGCTCACATTGCAATCACTAGAGCGGCAGTTTTGTTTTATCACATCCTTTTGCCATCTGGTCAGGGGTCCTTCCCTGGAGATGGGCCGTGAACGCCTAAACGCCCAAAACTCCCTACGCCGTAGTCGAGCCTCCATGAAGTCAGAAGCATCTTTTTTTCACTTAGCCGATTGCTTTAATACTGCTTCCCCGGCAGGTGCCACCGATGCAGTCTGTGCCGAAACCTGCAGCTATCTGGATGCTGAACAGTCCCTGGGTTTCGGCATCTGGTACTTTCTTCCAAGTCGTTTGTGGAATGCTATTAAGAAGGACTCATAGTAGATATGTCTGAAGAACACACGGACTAAGGATTTGAATTGCAGTACACCCTAACACTATTTTAGCACCCCAAGGCCGATCATAGCACTTAAAAAGTTCAGTGCTATATACTATGTCATAGTCTTATACGTTTTTGAGTTGCAATATAGTATATTAATAACCACTGAGGCAAAACAATGTCTATTATCGATCTGCTCTATGTTCGTCTGCTCCTGAGCACTGAGGTGGCCCTGTGGTGGAGGTGGTCCCTGCCTGTGCAGCGGAGGAGCCACCATTCTGCCCACGGCTGCGCCCACGACGACTATGCGAAGCACCACTGCTGCCGCAACGACTGCCACGATGTCGACCACCAGCAGCACCACCATCAGGGCCACAACCAGCGCCAGGACCATCGGATCAATCTTACAAGAGTATCTGGCCGGGCCGTTTCGTACCGTATTCACGGAGCTGCAGTTGGGAGTAGTTTTTACTGCACAAACCCTGCTTGGTCCTTCCCCAAGTGGAAATCTCCAAGCCTTTAACCCCTTCATCCTTCCCCAAGTCTTTCACTCGGGCTTACAGGCCTTTGACCACCACCCTGATCAGGACCACCACTGCGGCTGGCACCACCCTCTCCACACCCTCCACCACGTTGGATAGGTCCATCCAGGCTCTGGAGAGCTCCAATTCTGACGGTGTGCCTGAGCTGCATTGATCGGAAGTACCCTAGTGAGAGAACTCGTAGAAGCAGAATCCCAGCAGCACAAGCAGAAGCAAGGGCGAAATGCCAACGATGAGCAACTGAAAGTGTACTGCCAGTTACCCTGATCAATCGGATTGTTGTCGTAACACCAGGTGAGCCATATTTGGTCGTCTAACCGGTAACAACAAATGCGAATCACGCTGCTCCTCACGGCAGACAGGGAGTGTCGCAGTTTCAATGCTAGCCACCATATGAAATATGGTAGTTGATCTAAAGCTCCTTGAGCCATAGTTTATATGAAAGGCCAACTGCATAGCCAAATATGCCTTCGCGAAAGTTCCGCGATGGTGCCGCTAAAGTTACTTACATGTTTGCGAAAGTTATCCGTTGAGCCTACTTGCCGTACTAGTACATTTTGCTACTACTGCTACGATTAGAGACTGGTACGCCGTGGCGGCGCGTATTTTCGAGGAATTCAGTGTTTTTCCTCGAGTTTTTTACTATAGAAATGGCTTCATCATACTCCCCAGAATACACTAGCAAACATTTGCATGACGTCTTAACGCAGTATTATTCTCAACAGCTGAACTGACGCCCGCACAAGCAGCACGCTGAGGATCCGACCTTGGCGGAGATAACTACTTAGTAACTACTTTAATCCTGTTATTCTCATAGCCCACCAAGGGCGCGGAGACAGCAATTCTCAGTTTGCACAGAGTTATCAGCTGCTTCGCTCACTCTTCTTCTTCTTTGGTCACCCCTCGGACTTGTCGCAGCAAGAGACAGTCGACTAGAAGTCAAAATTTGTACACGTATGTCAGGCTTCTTTCTTCGATGAAGCAAACTGGCATGTTGTCGGATAGAGCTTCCTACTTCGAGGACGCTGGACGCTTCGCCATGCAGGCTGCTGGCCTCCGCAAGCAAACCTTTGCAGTTGGACGACGGAAAACTTTCGAGGCGAATGATTTGCTGCAACTGTACGGCTGAGAACGGCGGCGCTTACGGCCTGAACTGAATGGGCTGAGGTGACTCACACTGTTCTTGCGGATCAACTCGTTATGCTTCTGCACGTAGAAGAGAACATAGAAGAAATGCGTCTGCGGAGACATGGTATTGAATGTTCTGGCATAATTGCGAAACCAAGCGAAGGTTTGCTCAGCCACAGAGGTATTCACCTCTCTCAATCTCTTGTCCAACTTTTTGTGCACCAAGGGCGAGCACGGACAAGTTGTACCATGACCATGTGCGTGGAACTTATCGACGCAGAAATACTTAATGTCCCGGAGCATGTCCGACCTTCGCACTGCTTGCAAAGCGCAGCACATGCGGTCATAGATGATACAATCCAAGACAGGAAGAATTTCAGCCGCATCTTCAAGCATCCTAACTGCCAGGTCATTGTTCTCAGGGTGGATCATCTCCTGCACACCAACGATGAGGCCGGACTCTGGATGAATAGCCATAAACCACCCATTTGTGCGCTTTTTGACTGTGCCGTCCTTCCGTGGCCGTCCGCCATGGGCAGGAGTAATAGTAGAACACCTGGATGAAACCTTTTCATGGCCATCGATCACGAGCTCGTACATAGACTTACTCTCCTTAACAGTAATCTCATTGGATTGGAACCACTTGTGATATTCCTGCACGAAGTTGTCAGCAAGCGGCTTCTCCAAACAGATCGACAGGAGTTTCTTGTCGGTGTCCTGGTCCGACAAGTCGCACCACATGAGCTCGCCGACCTGTAGGACATTGAGATACAACTGTGCGGTAGAGTATTCTAGCCGCCATCGAGCATGCTCATTTTCGTCTTTCCACATGACTTCCTTTTGCGCAAAGTTGATAGCATGGACACTGATATGCCCACGAAACTGCAGCATGCCATGATAATCCAGGAAAGATCGAGTGAAGACCGTCTTGGGATTCACGAAAACAAATTCCAGATCACTTGCATGAGAGCTGTTGATCTTGTTGCCGTCCACCCAACGGTAGTTGTAGTGGTGCAATGTTGCACAATTGCGATTGGAGCATTTCTTTGTCAAATGTTCCACATGATGTACCCCGTCGAGTGCATATAAGCGTGCTTCGATCACACGCTCTTTCCGAATAGAGGCACCACACTCCAAGCACGTCTGCAGGGGTGAGGATAGCACCAGTCTATCTGGACAGTGTACATCCACTTTCATTGTGATTGAGGCTTGCGACGCAGGTCGTTTGCAAGGTCCCGATCCACGAAGGTCATAGGCTGCGTGATGATCCAGAGCAACATCGTGGGTAAGCGTCTGAAGACGAAACCAAGACAGATTCTCCATGGAGGACACAATCTGAGACAGGATCTGGAAGGTGGTGTGCAAATGACGCCCGCTAGACTCAGAATCCACGACACATACTGTCGAGTCGCCCAGGAATCGGATGCCACTCCAATGTCCACCACCTGGAGCTGCTTGATGGACAATGAGGTTACCGTTGAGGGTATTCACCTCGCTCAGATCCACTTCCTCCATGTAGATCATGCGGTATGCGTCTTGCGGAGCGCGCTGCGAACTGTACCTCATGTGCTCGTTGAATTCCCTAGCGGAGATATCACCTTCATCTTCCGTAACCTCCAAGAGGTCAGTGTCGCAGTCAGGCTGGAGCACAGCAATCACGTAGTGCAAGCAAGACGAGGTTGGCCCTTGCAAGCTAGCCCGGCAGATACTCCAAAGTCCAAGATCCTTGCGAATCAACAGCCTTGCTATGCTTGACAGCTCCGTGCCGGAAGGCCACGACTTGATGGCCATGGGAATCACACTCGCTTCACATGCCCGACACGCTTCGACGACATCCAACTCTGCAGCAAGACTGTCGCATTCAACATAGCACCCATCGAAGAGCAGCATTTGCACAGAGTCTCCCATGTGCTCTGACATGATGTGCATGAGCTTCGCCTCCTCAAAAGACAGGAGAGCTGAGAGCCGACTGAACTCTGGATTAGGACGATCTTCATAAAGATCAGCGAATACTCTGGCAGTCGGCATCTTCAGTAACAGCATAGCGGCACGCTGTACCTCGTCACAAAGCTTGAGCAAATATGGGATTTCAACGGAAGGCCGGCCACCGTAGAAAATGCGAATAAGCTCTACCTTCGCTTCCTCAACGGTACACTCCGAATACTGTGCCAGAGATTCTCTCCACTGTTTGTAGAACTGCACGACCTTGTTCAGCATGGGGAACTTGTCCTCATCCCAAAGTGCAGATTCGCGCAGCTTCGAAACTAATAGACGAGGATGGCACGAAGGAGCGTCGACTTCGGCGCAGTGAGAGCCGAAGGCAATGAACCTTGCTTCACGCGTGAGCTTTTGACCAGAAGGTCCTCGCGACAACAAGCGTCCATAATGAGGTCGTCTGTAGTAGGCGATGTCAATGCTGGAGAAGTCTCCATTAACCAATCCGTCTCGACGATGCCGAGCAATGTAAGCTTCCAGGAGATCTGGACGACGATCATTGCCAGCTTGCGCGTAGGCGATGAGCGCAGTCAAATTCACTTTCTCCTGCAAGCGGAGTTCACTATTACGCCCGAGCGCACTGAGATCTTCGACGATAGTTTTGTTTTGTCGGATAATTTGTGCGTCATGGTGGAAGGCTGCCCCTGTCCACTTCTCCTGCGTGTGCAGCAAGTCAAAGGGATCGCCCCATTCCGTCCAGGACCCGTACTTGTCGATGCCGCCGTGATTGTCCATGGCCACCTGTAGTTTTGTCCAATCCAGAAGGAGCTTGTGGAAACAACCATGATCCACTTGCTTCAAGAGGATCACGTCAGCGTTGTCCACGGCCTCGATAAGATAAAAAAGTTTAGTCCGCTTTCCTTTCGACGAGTATATGGCTCCTGGCAAAGCCTCAATCTTGTGGATGAGGTACTCCTTCAACACTCTTTTCCAGGGCGTCTGCGAATGAGCAGCAATGACTAGTCTATTGAACTCATTCACATCATCCGTCTCGTCTCCAGGAGGCGGAGCATTGCCGCCCGCAAGGCGTGAAGCTAGCCACTTGGTATCACGAACAAGATCGGCATGAACACCGGCGAGGTCGTTGATCATTCTCAAAGACTCTGCTAACGACGTTTCCTGGAAGAACGGAATGCAGTATTCCCGTAGGAACAGGGCGGCCGTTATCTCATGTGATAGGAAAGCAGATAGTTCGTCCTGTGGAATCAACAGGAAGACGCCGTTGTCTGTGTCCACCTCATTGACATCACTGACGAGTTTCCCCTTCCCCATGCGAAGACACACGATACGTCTCTCCAGCTGCTGGCAGCATTTGTTGCGATCGCGAGCTTCCTCAATTGTGGGTATGTTGTCATAATTTAACTCCTGCACCTTCAAGCTCTCACCAAATTTGCGCTTAGTGGTGAAGCCGTAGTTGACCCGACAGTCGATGTCTTCGTCAACTACGAATCGCTTCCATAGGTCGGCATGGAAGGAAGACTTATGATCCATCTCTTGGATGCGAACATTGGCCATGTTCCATGCCAACTCCGCAGATTTGCGGAATTCCGACCGGTCCAAGAAGACCCCACAATCCAATGTGGAGGAAGCAAGGTCCCCGAACAAGGTGCGATCCAATATTGCCTCCATTCCTTTACCATCGCCACCTTTGCCGATCTGGAAGATCATTTTGGAAGTGCATACTCGCTTGAAGGCTGCGTGGAGGAAGCACAACTTGATTTGGAATCCATGTTCGTTCTTGTAATACAGAGACTCGAGGAAGAGACGAAGCCTGATACGGAAGTTGTTGACATCAATGTTGGGGTTCTGTGCGATCACATGTTCATACAGGTAGCGGTAGTTCAGTTTCAAGTAGCAATTCCGATCACGTGCTTTCGGAGCCACATCCCAATTCTCGTCGAGGTACACGTCCGTGAAACAGACGCCTGTCGATCTAGGCATAGGTGTATCCCACTCCAAGAGAAACAACTTTGTTAGAGGCTTTGAGGAGATTTCGCTTTCCCAGGTCTTCCGATATTGAGCGAGCATATCGGCGACACGGCGAGACCATTTGGCATGCCACGCCTTGTTTCCTGTAGCTTTGCGAAGATGATCACTGTTAGCCTTGGCGACGCCACATAGCTCTTTAATCACATCCACGGACTGTTGAAGAAGATGTCGAATCACATTGAGCACTTCGGCGCCGGCGGCTTCCCAACTCCATTGGGACTCTCGCTCTGCCGCCGCCAAGTCCAGAGAGACTTGAACAAACAAGCCCTCCAAGGCCATCAGCAAATCCCATGCATCGATGGACAAGTTCTCACAGCGAACCCAAGCACCGTCCTCGTACCGAAAAGCTTGTCGACAATGAGCCCTCCAGTTATGGCCATCAATCAACATAGCCAACATAAGCTTCTGTTTGTTAGACATGCAATAGTTTGCGGCATCCATGTCACAGATGTAGTTGGCAATGGACACGAGTTTGCAGGTCTCCGGTGCGAAGTCCGGAAAGGAGTTACGACCCCACTGCATGTAGTGCTCGTACATGGCTGGCATTGTGATCGCGTTCGGGTTGACGGGTGCCGGCGCCAAGATATGTGGGGCAGGAGGGTCGATCTCCAAATCAGAGAAGGCGCGAAACCTCATCATGACACAAAGTAAGAAGTACACAGATATATGCTCGGACCTGCATAACATTGCATGGGATATCTGCGTCTGAGACCCCAACAGATTTGCACCTCTGAGACGTTTCGCTGGACGAGGTGAAGGAGAAGACCCCGCCATGTGAGGATACTCCTCCTGCATGAGATGTTCCAACTGACTCTCCAAAGAATTGGACATGTCAGCACTGACGACAAGGGACGCGCGAATGAAGTTGTAGCTTGAAAGCTCGAGAAATGCTGAGGCATTAACAGACAACAAGGATGGAATGTCCATGCATAGGCTACGATACTACACGGACATGCCAGGTCGTTGGTATGCGACAAGAGACTGAGCTGAGTCGAAGACAAATAGACGGATGATCAGGAAGAAGATGGATGACCTTCCAGTAGCAAGAAAAGCATGATGCAGAAGGGCATCCTTCGTGAAGAATTACCTTCCTGTGAGAAAAAGACGTGCATATGTACAATGCCGTATTAGAGCCTTCCTATTGCTGCTGTACATCCTCTTCCTCATCGTGAGCCCTGTACCTTGTCTCTATTGTTCCCTCAGTTCCTATTCTCTTGTTTCGTGTCTGTCCCCTTCGCCCCTTGTCCCCTTTGTCCCCCTTTGTCCCCCTCTGTCCCCCTTTGTCCCCCTTTGTCCCCCTTTGTCCCCCTTTGTCCGCTTTGTCCTCTTCTGTTCCCCGTCTGTCCCCCTTTGTCCCTCTCTGTCCCCTGTCCTTGGCTTCTGTCTCTCCTCGGCTTTGTAAACTAGAACATGTAACAGTAATGTACACATCGTCGTACGCCTAGATTGCCGTCACAGTGCATACTGACCGACAGATTTTTCTGCCTTTGCTCGCAAGCGTAACTAGTTGCAGCCATCATTATATGCACTCAACTCGGCCTCATCCCACATGAGACCAGGAGGCGGAAAAGTTGACTCGGGAAAGGCTACTGCGCTGCAGCGGCTGCGCTTCCAGTTTGGCTCTTCTCCTTTGGAGAACCAACTGTGCTGAGACCAAGAAGTATTCGACCAGGATTCGTTGCGTCCTTTAGACGACCAACGCCCCCCGCTCCAATACCTGGTCTTGGCGACACGCGCGGCGATTTCCTCTCTCTCGGCTTTACGCGCTATCTTTCTTGCAGCTTTCTCACTCTCCAGCCGCAACCGTTCTACACGAGTGCGCTCCAACTCGAGCTCCGTAGCTGTGGAACTTTTCTGTGGAGTCGACGGTTTATTAGACGGACGGGATGCCTTTGATGAAGTAGGCCGCGTTCGGCTAGGGAAAGATGTCGGCTGCCTATGCGGTGACTGTGGCTTCGGAGACTCACTGGACTTCGGCTTCGGCGGGCAGGTGCAGCGATCCCGCCCCCACTTCTGACATCCAGAGCATTTCGTACGAACCATGGCGCGCGCGTGAGATAGGAACTCGATGGATAATAGGAAAATTCTGCGGCAAATATGTGTAAGCTTACGGTAAGTGCAGTACATATACGGATAAAAAAGCCAAGCACCGCCAACGCTGAAGTTGAGGTCGCGACCTGAAACGCTATTATTTAGGGTATATGTGAGGATACAACAGCTCGGATACAAGGATTTGCCGGGCATGACAGGGGTTTCTTGGGGAGGGGGGGGGGGGGGGCGCCAAAAAAAAAAAAAAAAAAAAATTAAGGATATGCTTATTATTATTATTATTTTTTTTTTTTTTTTTTTTTTTTTTTTCCCCCCCCCCCCCCCCCCACCAGGGGCCCTTCTAGCTCGGCCTGAGCAGCCGTACATGGAGTATTATATTGTAACTTCGTACTGCAGCAAACACGTAGCTCACAAGATAGAAACGCTCATACGAAAGACATACCTACAAGCATACAGTAGAGAATAACATTGCCAGCACAACGAAAGGCCTACCTAGAAGCATGCAATGGAGAAGAACAAAGTCAACATCCTGAAAACGACTGAAACCTGCAACCTCGAAAACACACGCCGCCAGGGCGTACCATACTGTACGATTACTAGTTACTAGTACTAGTCCTATATGACTATGACTATTACTGCTGTCATTAACGAGAACCTAAGTAGGCATAAAAGATTCCTGCATAGTGGCATAGTGTTGCTCAGCGCAGTGGCGCTAACATGTATATTCATGGTCGGAGTACTAGTCATTGTAACCATAGAGGGATACGAACTTGCGAATCGTCGCGAAAGCCTCGCTTCTTAGATACTGTGCGCTATTTCGTTTGTATTTCGAGGATTGGCCTCTGCACGACAGTTTGAAACAGTGATCTTGCCGTATAGGAACTCACGTTAGGATTCCATGCGAATCCCACATCGGTGCTAGCTGGCAGGACTGAATGCAGAAGTGTTTGTTGATGGAACCTTTTGAGAAGCGAGCTTGGCAATTTAGGTTTGCTTGGAGGTTGCTTGCACGTGTTGGTGTTGTGGCACCACCCAGGTCTTCATGTACGACACTGGTAGTGGGTGGCTTCCATCGGACATCTACACATGGCCGGACATGATTCAGGCCCTGTTGCGGCTTTCCATGGTCGTGTGATCGATCTTCCTCGAAAGCCATCCCATGCAGCCACCGTCAGTCTGTGAGTGCGCATGTGTTTGTAGGTTTACATGTCTATGCGGTCAGTGCTGCGAGCTTAAACTGCAGTTCGAAGCACCTCTGGCAAAGGGCTCATTGATCTTCACAGCTCGGTTTTCTCTCAGAGCACGAACTGGGAGGACTCTCATCTCGACCTCAAGCCGCAGCCTAGAAACCCTACATCCGACCCGAAGCGAGCGAAGTTTGAAGTTTTTCAGCAGAGAGAAAGCATGACTTAAACACTTGTGTTTCTAACCTTAAGGGAACCCTGATACTGCCTTTACAGGCAGCCTTCTAGATCCCTTCGAGGACCCCTCCGTACAGACCCTGGAAGGCCGTTCGCCTTATGGCCACGAGTGGTGTCGGCAGCCTGAAACTCTGGCTGGGCGATACGAACCATGCCGGAGACTCAGTCCCTGTCTGCGATTTGTGGGGCTTAGAGGTACGGAGTTACTTCAAGGGTTTCTTTCAGGGTACTTAGAAGATTCTATACGGGGACTATTAAGAGCGTTATGGTTTAAAGCGCAGGGTTTAGGGTATGGGGCTTGTGGAAATAGAGTTTAGACTATTAGTGTTCTAAGTCCTTTCTGCATTCTACGTAAACTCTTCGCTAAGTTCGCTAAGTACGTAACCCTTCACTCGAAACACCTAAACCTCGATCGCTGCGACGCCGTAAGCCTGCACCATTAAGCCCGATAAGCCCTTATAAGCACTACACTCTGAATTCGCTAAACCCGATAAGCCTACAAACCCTGCAATCCCGAAGCAGACCGCCTTGAGCCCCATTTGGGGAGGTGTATGGCCTGGTAAACGTGGCCGCCTTCTTGGCGCAGTGCATGCAGGAGGGAGCTTAATTGGCTTACACTAAGCCCAAAGGGTCCAAGTACCATTATAGTAGGTACTTAGTGCCCTAAAGTATATACTATATGGTTACTTGGACCCTTTGGGAAAGGACCTGCTACGTTTGGGACGACCCTGAAAACTAGGTGGAGATACTAGGACCCTTAGGGTACAGGGGTTCTTGCATACGGCGTTCATATTATAGGGTTTCTGCTTATACAAGGAGGTTAAGGAGGGAGCCGAGCTGAGAGCTTGCAGGGTTACTGCGGCTTTCAAGGAATGTTACGGTTGATGGTATAAATCCTGCATTACCCATAATAAGGAACATACCATAATTCCCATAGTTTAGGGTCATATAAGGCAATGCAGGATTTATATCATCAACCCTAAACCCTATAGATCCCTTAAAGGAGCCCTTTAAAGGTACCTTTGTTTATATCATCAACCGTAGTACTTCTATGGATTCTATGGGGGAATCCTGATGCCTGAGAGCTTCAGGGCCTGGGGGCTCGGAAAATGCTAGTTTGCCTTACCTTAAACTACCATAACCTACTTTTTTGCAAGTTCTTATTATAAACCCTAATAAGGGATTTATAGGGACCCTACAAAAAAGTAGGTTTTGGTCGGTTAAGGTGGATGTGCATACTCTGAGAGGCAGAGGGGAGAAGCTTACACCAACGAGTAATCCGGTGAGATTATAGTGGTTGAGGAGTAGTATGTATGGCTATAGCCTCCTACACCCGCACTTCTGGTTTCCAGCCTTGCTATTCTTGTTAAGTTTGCCGTCTTTTTCTGCAGTAAAGCAAGGCTACTTTCTCGTTGTGGAAGCAGACATGATAGCTGTTGTCGCTTCACTCAGTGTCCTGAAGGTTTGAAACGCGGACTTGGGCTGGATAAACACTGCTCGAAGATATTGAGAATGACTGTTACTGTTACGGGCAGTACACACTACTTTTGCAATCATGGTCACTGGTTTCACTGGTATCACCATTAGTGTTATGTGCAAGCGCTTTTGTTTCGACTCTTGCTCCTCCGCGACGTCGGCCGTGTGGTGAGATCTTTCAGAGCAGCCTTTGTGATGGTTTAGGGTTTAGGGTCAGGGTTTAGGGCCTTTGTGAATGGTTTCCTGTGGCCAGGAAACGATCCAGTACAATGCCTGCGATGAGAACAACTGGAGCGACAAGGTTGGCACAAACTGAGCGTCTCATGAGTTTGGGTTTTCTGGTTCTGTACATAGAGCTATAGTGATCGTGTCTTCCTCAATAGCACGAATGAGCTGCCGAACTTTGTTAAATGAGGGTCGATTGCTGAGACAAGAGGCACTATACCCCACCCCAATCGCCGGCTTGCGACGAGCGGTGCTTCTCGGTGCACCTCTTCCGGACGCCTTCATCCTGAAATCTTACACCGCAAGCCTAACGAGCATCGCCGCGTAGCACGGCAGGTAAGGATTGCCGAGACATCAGCACGGGATGCTGAAGCAGAAAATAATTGCAGACACAACGCTGTACGTCGTGGCCTGTTGCACCAAGCACTTTTAAACCCGAATCAGGCTTACCCGCGTATAGTGCCAGCAACCCTATACGAAGCACAAAAATCTTCACTCCTGGATCAAAGCTTATAGAGCTGAAGCACCCCAACCTGTCTGGGGCCTATACTATGTGTCCCCTTCAAGACGCTATAAACCCTACACCTCTGTTTTTGATCGAAGGCGGTGGTCCAAGAGGCGGGTGGGGCGACCTACTCGGCAGCGTCGGCTTGTGGCCAACTCCATCAGTCCTATCAGGCAGGATAGGGCGTCACAAGGGGAGTATAATAGGGTGCAATGAAGGTCTGAACGGTTTGAGGGTATAGGGTACTGTATAAATGGCTGCGCTTGAGGGTTTAGAGGTCTGCATGCGTCAAAGAGTGTCATTCTAGCAGTTTTCTCGAAGGTATGTCAACAGGTTTCGTTCGAAAAGCTTCAGTCAAGAACGAAGTAAGCCTTAAACAAGGAGTTGAGTCACAGACATTCGGTTTTAATATGCCCAGTTCACGCCCTCTCAGAGCTCGAAAGCCTGTCTCCTCCTTTTCTGAGCCTGAGCCGTCGTCTCGTGGCCATGGAAGCGATCGAGGTCCGGATCGACCCCTCTGGGCTCAAGGGCTTCTGCTGCTACAGCTTGCGGCCCATCGCCAAGGGGGAGGTCTTCTTCCGGGAGGATCCGCTGCTAACCTGGCAGGCATCGGCAGCTACTCCCATGGAAGCCCTGGCGGCTGCCCTGGGAACGGGAGCTTTGGGCTCTGCTGGGCTCGCTCTGAAGAAGAAGCAGGCTGTAGTCGCCTGGCAGCGCTCTTCCATGGAGCTTCAGAGGCAAATCCTCACACTGCAGACGGCGCCGTGCCCTACTTCAGGAGCTGCCTTGGCCACGCAGATCAAAGCAGCCAGTGACCACCTCCTTGCGGGCTTCAAAGCTGTCCAGGGCAGTGAGGTGGAGGCGGTGGTTGGAGCCTGCGTCGTAAACTGCTATCATTTCGAGCCTGGAGACACTGAGGCGCTGTTTCTCAAGGGATCCCGTTTTGAGCACAGCTGTGCCCCCAATGCTTCCTTCCTGCCGCAGCTGCTTGAAGAGTCCCTTTTTGTGGGGAGCTGGCGGGCACTCCGGGTCATCGAAGAAGGCGAGGCCGTGGCGGTGTCCTACTTGCTACCTGAGGAGCTCCGCTGGTCCTGCAGTGACCGCCGCGAAGCCCTGCGACAGCGTTTCGGCTTCCTCTGCGCATGTGCTCGTTGCTGCACCGAAGATATATGCCTGGATGACATGGACTGAGGATGGCGCTTTTTCGGCTGAAGCTGTGGCTACAGAAGAGAAGGTGTCAATCGCACACTGCCGTCAACCGTGGTTTCTGCGACCCGGTTCACTCGTCACCAGCTCGCTGGAACCGGCCCATTTTTGTTTGCACTTCCGGGCTCGTCACCAACATTGCGCCTTTCCGAACCAGCTTCGATTGCCGAGGCTCCGAACCTCAGCTGAAGCTTGCAACACCCGCGAGGAACAGTGCTCCCATCCTTATGGCTGTTAGCACAAGACATGAGAGCAGTACGGAGTTGCACTGGCACAAATGAGAAGACCATACAAGACCCAAGCGGCAGTTTGGCTCTGGATGGTGGGCTGAAATCCGCAGTTCCAGACTCGGGGTTCAGGATGTGCCCATGCCTCATGGCTGCACGACCAATGTGGGCGTTTCCGAAGATAGGGGACCTTAATACAGCACCCTAAATAGTAGGATCCTGATCATAAGGACCCCAAATAAGGCACCCCTAATTTCGGAAACTCCCATGTGACAGACACCGGTCTCTACCGAATGTGTTGGCCCTGGTCGCTCTCGATGACAAAGGGCCGCCTACTACTATCACTTGCTAGGATGCCCAGTAGTACCCTTATTCCCTTTTTGTAGTCCTAGGTTCCATATATATAAAGGTACCCAATACCAAAAAGGGAGCCCTTTCTATTCCTAGTTTACTGGGCATCCTAGCTTGTGCCAGTATTTCATGTCCAGGGGCACGGGACTGGCCAGACACGAAATCCTGGCACATGAATATATAACAGTCCATAGGCCCCAAACCTCGCTGCAGATCCATCGTAATGTAACCCCAAATAGGAGCTACGGTTGATGATATAAATCCTGCATTACCAAATTAAGGAATATACCATAATTCCCCATAGTTTAGGATCCTTCATTTAATGCAGGATTTATATCATCCACCGTACAATGGGTACTTTGGATACCCTTATATGTTCTGATGAAGTTCAGGCCCTGAGTCGAGCAATGCTCCACTGCCTTATTCACTTCATCCCTAGACTCTGCGAGCCAGACACTCGGGTTTAGGTTTTAGGGGGTGAAGGTTTAGGTTTTAGGGGGTGGAGGTTTCCGCTTTAGGGGGTGAAGGTTTAGGGTGGAGGGTTTAGGGTTAGGGAGGGTTGAGGGCTTATCCATGTCTTCCAGGATTACAGCTGCTCGCCAGAGGAGGATGCCCTCGCTGGCGGGAAGATGGCTTGTGATGTCGCCTCCTGCCCATGCAGTGGATTTAATTAGAACCTGAAGGGGTTAGGGTTATAGGGAGCCCATGCATGGGGTGTTAAGACTTGAACCTGAAGGGTTTTGGGGTTTAGGGACCATCGTCGGAGAAACAATGCTGTAGAAGTAACAATCGGAGAAAGGACTTAGAAGAATGACAGGTGGCCGTGGTATGGCAAGAATCGCAATGCCGAAGTTGGCTCGAAGCCTCACTCTTCTCAGATCACGGTTTAGGGTTTAGGGTTTCTGGCTGTACTCTCGCTTTTGCAGACTCAGCCATGCAGTGCAGAAGCTGAGGACCCAAATATGGAGATGCGTGCCTACACACAGGCTGCCAAGGGTGGGGGTCCTATTCGTGCCCAAGAATACGTAGTTCCCCTAAACCCTAAACCCTAAACCCTAAAGACGTAGGTTAACATGACGCAAACTCTTGAAAGTTGAAGCTTGTAACCCGCCCCAGGGGCCCAGGGGCTGTTGCCACCAGAAGTTTGTGGATTACTTAAAGGATCATGGGACTTAGTAACTGGGGTTATAAATGAGGTAACTATACTTATAATTACTTATAACCCCAATTAGGGTACCTATAATCTTACTTACTAAGTCCCCTGATCCTCCAAGTACTCGTGCGTTGTAGTGGCGCTTCAGGGTTTTGCGCTGTAGATTGATACTCCTCACCCAAGACTACACCACCCCGCGTGATTTCTAGTTAGGAGTTCACGTGGGCCGCTGAACCCCGAGAAGCAACAGAGCTCGGAAACCCAATCCCAGAGGCTGCATGTACCTATTTCCGATATACTTCAGCCTTAAAGTGCTCATACAGGAGCCCTTTTTGGGGCTTAAGCATACCTACAGTTCCTTTTTTTGGTTAACCAAAACCTCAATTATCGGATCCTAGCCATAAAACATGGTAAACCAAAAAAAGGAACTACAATGGAGACTATAGGTATGCTGTATAGGCACATGGAGCCTTAGCCCAGACCTTCCAAATCCCTTAACTACGGAATATACCTTAAACTATCGAAGGATCCTTTATTATGATTTAAGGTCTATATTCCTTAATTAAGGGGTTTTGGAAGTTCTGGAACCCTAAACCCTACACCCTGTAGATCCCTTATACATCCCTTAAAGGAACCCTTAAGGATCCCTTTAAGGGAACCCTAAAGCCAGGCCGGCTGGTATGGAGCCCCGGCGAAGCTCTTCTGCGCACCCAAGTCCAAGGTTCCCAAGGCTCCGAGGTGCCCTCTGGTCCCGGGTTCATTTAAAGGGCTCCTTCAGGGTTCCTTTAAAGGGCTCCTTAAGGGTTCCTTTAAAGGGCTCCTTAAGGGTTCCTTTGAGGGATGTATCAGGGATCTACAGGGTTTAGGGTTCCCAGAACTTCCGAAATCCCTTAATTAAGGAATAAATCGTATTAGGGATCCTACTATAATGTAAGATATACTCCTTAGTTAAGGGATTTTGGAAGGTGTGGGTTTAGGCCTGGGCTGGGCTTGGGAGAGCGTGGGGACGAGCTACGATTAATGTAGGTGCCAAAAACATAGGGGCTTGGGGGGATATTATACTGTAAGTAAATGACAAAACCCTAATCTAGTTATTAAGGCCCCTACATTAGTATGGCTTGGTTTGTATGTATCAGAATAGAACACCCCTTCCTAGCTATTCCTAGCTACCGTCTTCAAGCTCTGCTTGCCTAATTGCTCGTATGTAGGCACGTACGTACAAACATCCATCCATCCGTTTGTCCATCCATCCTTACGGCGAGAGCACCCGGATGTTTGAAGCTTCGTATACCCGTTCGAGAGGGTGCTATGATCATGGACATCGGGCACGGGCACCGTGATCTTCGGAGCTTCAGATACTGGGTTTCCGCACCTGGTTGGATGGTGGTGGAAGTTCACCGGCATAATCAACACCGTCATGATGCATGTGTTCTTCAAGTAGATGTTGTCAATACCCGCCGTTGTGATCCTGACAATGATGAGGTTATGATGACGGCGATGTTGATGTTGTCTCCGATGATGACGGCTACATCCAGAAAGCTAGGGTACTGATGGCGCAAAATGGTTAAGCCTCTTGCGATGCGGGTTTCTGGAATGATTTGCATCCACAGCTCCTTACTTTGTTTCCTGTGTTCAGACAGCAATGTAACGAGTGTGGGCAGCGACTGCTATGTGCCTGAAGAACATCTTGAAGTCAGGCTAAATGCGTCCTGAAGCAGGAGAGTTAAAACCATTACCCTATGCACAGCTCCCCTAATCCCTACACCCGAGTAGAAGGGGGCCATTGCACTGCACGTTAAAACAGGAAGATCAAACCGGAATAAAAGGTGGGACTACAGTGCACCATGGTGCGCGCCAGAAGGCCAGGGAGCTTTGGGGAGATATCGGGGAAGCTGGGGATCACTCCTCGGATCTACAGTGATTAGTGCCTTCTGGAACCAGTCAGCTTCAATAAGAACAAGATAAAGTCAAATAGCCCTGTGTGCGCATATATACTATATATATATATATATATTTTTATAGACTAGAGTGTATAATCGGGTATAGAACGTAGCGCGTACGTGAATACTACACCTGACCTTAAAACACCCCGCGTGCAGATGGATATGGCCATGTCCCTCCCTTTGCTGACGATGTGCCCCTGGACGAGTACTTTGACTACGTCAACGGAGGCGGAACAAGAGTTTCGGTGAAGGTAGTGGGAAGCAGGCAGCATTGTATACCCTTTCCCGCTGTCGGCAGGACATGTTGATGTCGTTGCAAACGGGGCTGCAGGTGTTGATATATTGGTTGTTACGGAGGTTCATGTTTCTAGAAACCACAAGATGCTGCAATGCTTGCAAGTGGGAATATGCAGATGCCAAGGCATCATTTGGACATGTCCTGCGGGGATATCGCTTTCTGTTGGCTTTAGCTGTATATACAACTTTCCACTTCGGGCTCCACTGTCCTCGTTTGCTATCGCAGCTTCTTTACATGCATCCCTTTGCCAAGCCACGGCCTGCCAGCGCAATGTTTGTCCAGGCATTGCATCTCATTTTGACTTGGCTCAACAGCAGCAATTGCTAGGAATCCTTCGGACCGACATGGAGTAGTGTTCGCGCGATTTGAGCATCTGATGTTTTATCCCATGAGTCCCTAAACCCTATAAATCTTGAATTGTAACCAAACCCTAGGAGTCCTAAAGCATGTTGCTTCGAACTACCCTGGTGCCGGTAAGACGGGTTTTGCTTTGATCACATAGGGGCCTCATTAGTCAACAATACTATTTTGAGGGGTTCATTGCAAAATATAGCCCGAAACCCGATTCTAACTATTAAGGCCCCTATAGTACATTGCCCTTTGTGAGGTGGCAGCTGCAAGGACTACCAGGGCATCAAGACAGGACTGGGGCTGGGCTTTTGTTAGGGAGTTCAGGTTAAGTTGCCATAATAAAGCAACCATATAACTTACTATATATCCTTATGATGGTAACTTAAATTAAATTCCTTAACATGATTCGAGGGGGTAGTTGTTTAACTTTGGGTCCCTTTTCGGGTCCCTTAAGAAGGGTGCCGTAATTTTTTGAGGTACCCAGATTTTCGGAATCTGGTGTTCGTGTTCTTGTAGGCGTCCAAGCACCCTCCATTCTAGCTCAAATAGCCCCAAGGGCTCCAGTTACCTAAATAGTAGGTTACTGGGGTATATAATATATGGTTAGTAACCTACTATTTAGGTAACTGGAGCCCAGGAAACCATGGTTTAGGACCAGAAAAAGCTCTGTTAAGGGGTGCTTGGGGGTTCTGCATCGGCACCTGGGAGCACATGCGGACACGACTCAGTTATGACAATGCGATATTGCCGGTCGCTTCACGATCACAATTAAGGCAGTATATAGTGCCTGTAGCCTGCAGCAAACACTTATCCGAATTCCTGTGACCACGGCTTTCAATACTCGGTCTCTGTGTTTTTGCTTCTTATCATCGTTGTGGGTCCGAGAAGAGGAATCAGACCTCAAGAGTCCGTAAATGAATAGGCTCGGAAAGAACTCGCGCGTCGGAGCATCCGGACGAAGTTTTGAGAATATCTCCGAATGCAGGAGCCTAGATTACCAATGCTATTTGGGGTTCCTGATTGTAACTACACTATAATATACCCCAAAACCCTGTTCTAACTACTGAGGCTCCTCGTCATGGTTACCTGGCCCTGTTTAGTGGATACCCTGGTCTAGCAAATCGGCTATGGACGACGGGGTAGCTGCCCATATGGAAAACCATGGGCGTCGGTTCATGAAGGCTTTTCATTACTAGACCTAGGACCTAGAGTAGGCCCTTATTCCCTTTTTTTTTGGGTTTCGGTTCCCTTATAACCCCCTTTAAACCAAAAAGGGCACCCTTTTCATTGCTAGGTTACTCTTAGGTCTAGAGACTCAGACCCTGAACCATACACTTTTTAGAAGCCGGATACCGAGTCCGCTCGGCCCGAAACCGTTCTGAGGCCCCTAGACCTTAAACCCTACATAAACTGCCCTACTAAACCCTACCCCAAGGGTCCAAGTACCCAATAATCATACACTCCAAAATCCTAACCTACATAACTACGATCCTAAAACCGGGTACCTAGTTATTCTGTCCTTTGGACCCTTGGGGCTAAACCATCCCTAAACCCGAACTTCAAGGAGGATGGAAGTTCACAGGTGAGGGCTGCGTGGCTCGGCTGCTTCGGTGGGATCTGGGATTCAGCTCTGGTTGAGGTTTGGCAAATCCTGTGTTAATAAGGAAGCCTTACTATTTATTCAAGATCCCTAGTACAACTTAAACCCTAAACTAAAACTTAAACTCAGTTCCTTACTCACAGATCCCAATCTCCCTTAATTAAGGAATATGCCTTAACTATAAGGGCCTTAATACTATGGTTTAAGGTATCTTCCTTAATTAAAGAGTTATTGGGATCTCTGGGTAAGAAGACCTCAGTATCCGATGCCAGGGTCCCTCGGCCAGGAGCAGAGTCGGAGAACTCGATGATTTTCTTAACCCCCGAAGCCGTAAACCAGAGGGTCCATATAAAGTACTAGGTGTGATTATGGAATTTGGTCTCCCAAACCTCTAACAAGGATGATCTTTTGGGACCCAATTCCATAATCATAGTAGTATATATGGACCCCCTCGGTAAGCCATAAAAAAGCCGAAGGGAAGCTTTCGTTCGAACACCGGAGCGCGCATGAGTCCCCTGGAAGATTGGAGTCCCGGAGCTTGAGGATCTTCGGGTAGGAGTGATTCGAATATCGGGTTTACCTGGACCCTAAAGAACCTACCTGTTTAGGGTTCCGTCTATATAGCCCTTAACAAGGGAGGTGAATGGATTTAGGGTTTAGCGTCTGGAGGGTTTAGTCGAAAAAACTCGGGGCTTTCAAAAGGCTTAAGGTTTGCAGAAGACGCGGCAGGGATTTCGGGTTCAGTGTAGGATGGGCCTGGGAAAGCAGAAAGGCTCATGGGTTTAGGGTAGGCAGATCAATGTGGGAGTTTCCGAAAATAGGGGTACCTTATTTGGGGGTCCTTATAATAAGGGCCCTACTATTTAGGGTACTATATTAGGGTCCCCTATTTTCGGAAACTGCCATGTAGTAGTGCTTGGAATCTGACATGTGGTACTGGTGCTTGGAACTGCGTCCAGGTCGATGGCGCTTGCCCAAATCCAGATGCGCCCTTGTTTGGGCAACCGGAGGGCCGTGAGGATCTTGGTTGCGGGGGCATTTTTCGCAAGCCAACGACTGAAACACCGTTGATGATGGTGGGTGGGTGGGCGCTGTTTGTGATGGTAGCACCTACGTGAGCACGACTGCAGCAACGACAACACCGTGTGCAATACTTGTTCTCCTGCTACGTATTGCACTTCGTCTTCGGCCTTCGCAGTGGATGTACTCGTCCATGGGTGCAGCTGCTGCTGTCACTGGTGATGCTACGGTGGCATGTGCTGTGGTCTTGTGGTGTGGTCTTTGTGGTTGTTGTCTTGAAATTTTGTCTTGTGATGACCGTGCGATTTGCATGCTGTGTGTGAGAGAGCCTTATGTTGTGTGCCACTGGCTGAGCCGCCATGTTTGCATTTGCAGGACTTGGAGGGCTGCTGCTGGTGGGGCCGAGGCAGCATCGGACTAGAGAACTATCAGTCCCTTCCCACCCCGCCTCTCCTCCGAAGGGCAGAAATCATCGGCAACCCCAGACCCCGCCCAAAGGGTCCTAAGCACCTTTGTAGAAGAATGCAGGGTTTCTATATGAGGAATTGCTATTACGGTTTGGGTAAGTGTCCATATTCTATACGTACTTAGGACCCTTTCGTACCAGAAAGCCCGAAAGACTGCGGCAAGCGACGAGTACCCAGACCTTCCAAAATCCTTTAATTAAGCAATATACCTTAAGTTATAATCGGATCCCTAGTATGATTTAAGGTATATTCCTTAATTAAGGTATTTTGGAAGGTCTGGGTACCCCGAGTGCAGGCGTGATCCAAACGACGGGAACCTGCAACTTCGGGAAGTCATGCTCTCAGCTCCGAGCCGTCTCGTTGTACTGCATGTCCTTCTTCTTGCCGGTTTAGGTTTTAGGGTTTCAGGGGGGGTTTTAGGGTTTAAGCCGCTTTAGGTTTTAGGGTTTAAGGGGTGGTTTTAGGGTTTAGGCAGGTTTAGGGTTTAGGGTTGAGGGCGCGGTTTTGTTGTCGTTGGGAAATAGCGGTGGTGATGATGGCTGTAGCATGGTCATGGCGACCCGGAATGACCGGCGGTGGTTGCTTGAAAGGTGTCAACTCAAGGCCAATCAGGGTTCAGGGTCCTTTTATTTAAGGGTTTATAAGGGCTTTACGGTTTGCGTTCTAATCTGCCCAGCAGGTCTGTTGTGCTCGTTTCGCATGTGTGCAGGGTCTCGAGGAGTACCGGATTGGGTTTCCAGCACGGTTCAATGGAATACAGGGGCCTAGATGAATAGATGAATACCAGCACATTTTGGGCCCCTTATCACAACTCTAGTACAATATCCCCCCAGAAGCCTAATCTAATTATCCTGGTACCAAGGCCCCGGAGTTAGTTGACGTTAAGATGGCCTGTCATGTAGCCGCGTCCCTATTGAAGGCTTTGGGTTGTTGTCGTTGACTGCGAGCGATTGTATGAGGCACCATGTGCTCATGCAGCATGTCTGTCTGCCGTCTCAGTAGCCAGTACTGCTCGGAGTCTTGCTTTGGTGCGGGTCTACCTGAAATCCGAAATTCTTATCCCTAAATCTCCCCTCCTCCCAAAAAACCTCTTACAAACAACAGTTACACCCATTCAAAAGACGACCTTCAGGCTGAACTTCTTCATGGGCAAGAGGGCTTCGGACGAGGGGCGATCCTCCATTTATCCGCAGATCGACTTTTGCAAGAACCCGCAGCTCTGTCAATCCTTAGATCGAAGTGTCTAAGGGTTTTGAGGTTTCAAAGCTTACTGTTTTTCCTTGATTCGGTTTTTTCAGCAGGTAATCAACCCCAAGCGAACGCCCTGCTTCGCCTTAGGCAATCCCTAAACCTTTCCCTCGTTTCTGTTGTTTGCTACGGTTGATGATATAAATCCTGCACTACCCATAATAAGGAATCTGTGGGGAGTTATGGTGTATTCCCTATAATGGGTCATGCAGGATTTATATCCCTAAACCCTAAGCCCCCTATAGACCCCTTAAACGAACCACTTAACGGCACCCTATAGATCCCTACCCTGGGATTTATATCATTCAACCGTACCGCCTTGAGTCCTCAGCAGTCGAAAGCTCCGTTGCGGTAGGCCTGAAGGCCCAATCCCCTAATCCCTTGCTGCTCTAAGCCCTACCTTAACCTGCCAAACCCTACTTTTTTGTAGGTTCTTATTCTAAACCCTAATATGGAATTTGTAGGGACCCTACTTTTTTTTGCAGATTTTTGGTAGGTTAAGGTAATTAGACATTACAAGGCTTCCCCTAAGGGTCCATATACCCATATAGCATATACTTTGGGCCCAATGTACCTATATACGGAGTACTTTAAGGCCAGTGTATATACTATATGAGTGCATGGACCCTTAGGGTTCTTTGGGGCCTGTGGACCCGAAAGCCATAAACCCTGCAAGCCTGAGGCCCTAAACCGTAAGTGAACCTTAGGGTTTAGGGTTTAGGGTTTAGGGGTTTAGGGTTAGGGTACCCTAAACCCTAAACCCCTAAACCCTAAACCCTGATGGAGGGGCAAGGGACTTAGTAGTAAGTAGGTTATAGGTAGAGTTAGAGTTGTAAGTTCCCTGAGTGGAGTTATGTAACCTGCTTACTAAGTCCCTTGCCCCTCCAAGCTGGACTCTAACCCAAAGGGTCCTCGCGGGGGCTAACCACTCAATTTACTTAAACCCTCGTGGGGGCTAACCACTCAATTTACTTAAACCCTCGCGGGGGCCTGATTGAGGGTCTGGGGCCTGGATTCTGGGTTGGGGCCTGGATTTGGGGCTGGGCCTGGAAGGGGCGGCTTTCGAGGTGTAGGGCAAAATGTAAGACGCCGCAGCCCAAAGCGGACACCAATCAGCCGAAGTATTCCCCATAACAGTACCTAGGACCCTTTGGGAAAAGCCTTCTGGCTCAGCCCAGGAACTCCATTTGCGATCCGAGCAGTTTCCTGGCTCAGGATCCGTCGTGGCTCTGGATTCTCTAAGCGGTTTAGGGTTTCGTGGCTAGCCTTCGACGTTTGATTGGCCGTGGGCTTTGGGCTTTAAGTTGTTTGGGCTTTGCCAGTTCACCGAGGCTCGTACGGTTCTGGGTGGTGTTCGGTTCTACCGGCGATTCGACTTAGGATGTGCAGGGGCTTGGTTTAATCTCATATCTTAGGTGCACAAATCTAAGCACGATTCTACTGCGGTGTTGTGGACGGCAATCATAATTTTGGCGGGTACTCGTTTCGAAAGCTCACCCCCCCCCCCCCCAAGTACACCGAACACCATCGTAGATCCTGTGATTACCGCTGGAGCTTCATGTGTGCAGCTCCCTTTCGTCCTTCAGTAAGATCGTTGCAGAAAGTGCTTCTTGTTTCCGAGCTGTTCTTGGCAGAATAAGTCCAGTAGAAGTAGCAGCAGCAGCCGCCGTAGAATCACAACATATTCCAGAACTCTTACCAGTCTTGCTATCACGCTCTTGATACCTGTGATTGTGTTTACTGTGCTCATTCTGTCTTCACCATTGCCATCACTACTGCCATGCTGTTTTTAGCAAGCCTCGAAGTGTAATATAGGGGCCTAAATAAATATTAATTATCTATGCATTTGTTGAGGTTCCTTATTATAATTATAGTACAATGGGCCCCAAAACTTAAACCCTATTCTAAATATTAAGGCCCCTATGTTGGCTTTGGGAAGTTTGAGGCCCGCCGGAGCTGAAATGGGTGGCTGGCATGTTCTACTGGCCCCTCGGCTCATGATCCGCCGGGAGGGCGCTCGCAGGGCTTCAAGGAACCAGGGTTTAGGGCTCAGGGTTTAGGGCTTTGGGTTTAGGGTTAGGGGCTTAGGGTTTAGGGTTTAGTGCCCCGTAGTTTGGGTGTAGGGCTTCGTGGTTGACGCATGGCTTCTGATTCTTGGGGTTCGAGCTTGGTGGGCAAGCTGTTCGAAGGCTGAGTGATGATGGGAGTGCCAGGCAAATTAGACCTTGAGGTGTCGAAGTGCCACGGGTTGTTTAGACAGCTGAGTCACAGCTCTGGCCTGAAACATACCCATTCACCGGTTCACAGGGCTTCTTGCAGTGAAGGGCATGTGCTTTCAGATTGGTCTACACATTATATTATAATTATCAAGGCTCTGTTGAGCAACTCAGGTATCCCTTTGGTTGACAAAATGTATTTCAAATGTGCAATTGGTAGAGCTCCCTCTCCGACATACTGTGTTACTGCAGGCGAAGCTGAGGTCGAGGGCTAAACTTGCCTTAAATCTTCGGTTACGAATCCTATAATGAGAAATGCAGTAACTTTTGTAAAGTACCTGGGGAGCCCTTGGGTGAAGATCTCCAGTTTAAGACTACGAAGGCTTGGAGATTCGAGGTTCGGGGCTTCGGACGTAGAGACTTACGGTTTCGGTGGCCTTTTTTATTTTGGGATGAACTCTAAAACTTGAGCTTTGTAAGCCCTTAACCACTAAACCCTGAATCCTTACCTGAATTGGGGTCATCCGAAATTGATGACTTCAGCACTCTTCGACATCCCTTCTCGAAGGCTTGAAGGCCCCCAAATCAAACTCCTACAACTCATTGACCAGGTTACACTCTAATAGAGAAGCCTGACCCTAAGGCTCTAATGACTCATTGTTCCAGGCATTTGCACCCAAAGACCATACTATGTGAAGGTTTTGGGCCGTTTTGTTCAGCGTTAGGCTGAATAAATAGGGGGTCCCAGGTATTCTATGACGATGGTTGCACGCAAGCGGGGTCAAAACCCTAACCCTAAGCAGTCAAGGCTGAACGCCGTGCAGCCTTATAGCTCCGGTGGCTGGGATTACATCGCGGAGCTGAAGAAGCCTCTCGTCTCACGATGCAAGGTCACTGAAACACCGAAGTGCCAAGCTCCCCGAAACTCCCGCACTCCTAGTTAAGGATCCCGTAGTAAGAAATTGCCTACAGTGTGATATACCCTGGGCTCCAGCTACCTTATATATAGTAGGTTACCAATTGAAATAAGAGACCCAGTAACCCATCATGTCGTCAACTTGGAGCCCTTAGTAATTCCTACACTGTTTTGAGGGCTCCTTGAAGCCTTGTAATTATCGTATCATACACCCCAAAAACCAACTCTAATAACTATCAAGGTGTCTCTAGGAGCAGCCTTTAGCAACCTTGCCTTTTTTCGGCGATGGTTCTTTGCTGGACAGGAGCTCAGGCTTTTCACGGCTTGGTTAGGGTTTAGATTCAGGGTTTTGAGGACCCCAAACTGAGGTGGGTGGACAACGGCATGCAGAAGGGCGATCGATCCTTCATCAACGGGGCCTCTGGCATCGTGAATCGCGGCTGCCACAATCCACCCAACTGTGGTACCGGAGAGCTTCATGCGGCCACGGTGCCTTGGCTGGGTTTACTCGGTTCCTATTAAGGGACTTAATAGTTATCAGAATATGGAAACCTTTTTTGCTATAGATCACGATTGTTGTAACTTCAGTTAAATTCTTTAACCCCTACACCCTTATAGAGACCTCAAAGGAACCCTAAACTATATGCTAAGTTAAGTTTATTAACTCCTTAGCAAGAGCCCGGTTTAGGGCTTTGGATCTCAGGGTTGCAGGCCTCGGCTGCTCATGGCTAAGCCCTACTTGGAGGGTCGGGGGACTTAGTAACCTATAAGGGGTTCCTTTAAAGGGGTCCTTTAAAAGGGATCTATAGGGATTCTATAAGGGTTTAGGGTTTAGGGGACTTAGAAACTGGTTATTTTAACGATTTGTAAGTACCATAACCCCAATTAGGGTCCGTTTTAGGGACTTACTACCTACTTACTAAGTCCCCCGACCCTACAAGTAAGCCCAACCTTCAAATGCACTGTGCAAGGCTCCATGTACCGACATAGTAGATACTTAGGCTTTAAAGTACCTAGAGAGGGACCCTTTTAAGCCTGAGTAGCTACTCTAAAGGTACATGGAGCCTTTGGGGTCAATCTCGCTGTCTATACGATGCACGCATCCAAACTCCTTAAGCTTCCTGTCCTCTGGCAGCTCTAAGATCCAGAACGCTGAGCTCCTGAACCCTACACTCCTAAGCACTCTGGCGGTCATGACGCCTGGCCATGACGAGGAGCGCGCGGCGAATTTCGACAAGGTCCTCGAAGCCATGGGTTTGATGGGCTAGGAAGCGGGCCCTGAGCTTTGCATTGTTTTGCCTGGGGGGAGCCAGGCGGCACTTGGCAGCATAACTAGTCGCAGCCGAAGTGCATGCTCTGCCTCCCCATAATCATCAACTTTCATGTGCCTGCCGGGACTGGCGCATCAGATTAGATCCATTTGGATATTTAGAGTTTGCCATTCCCGGTAAGGCTCTTGGGAGCACAGCTGTTTCCAAATTAGGTCTGTGTGACATGCTCACCACTTTTGAAGTTGCCTTCCTTTGTGACCCCACGGGGCCTCGTTAGGGGAGTGTGCTACAGGGCAAAATGCAAAGGGCGCCCTCTGGCCAGGAGGCTTTCGAAAGCCTGCTTCGATGCGAAACCATAGGATCGTTGATTCTTCGAATGTTAGCATATACGAGTGCACGGTAGAATGAAGGTATCGGAACCGTAGAAGCGCGTACAAAAGCGTGTATACTGACAGATACTACAGATGCATAGAACAGAGATGGTTCGAGAGAAAGAGACGGAGAAAGAGACAGAGAAAGCGAAGGAGAGAGAGAGAGAGAGAGACAAACGACAGAGGGTCGAGAGACGGATAGATCGACAGACTGCTAGACAGATGGGCAGACAGATAGATAGCTATATAGATGGACGGACAGGCAGACATACTAACAGAGAGACGGATAGACAGAGTGACAGGTTGAAAGATAGACAGATAGATAGATGAGAGATGGGTAGATAGATAGGTCAAATGGACAGTTTTGTAATGAAGGCTGCTATGGTTCGTAGACCGCTGGCCGGAAAGCCGGCCATGTAATCGTGACATATGTGACATCATATATGTCCTGGATAGTCATTGGGCCATATTGCAAGCGGCGCAAGACATAGGAAGGCCTGCGAGGAAGAGAACCTCAAACCTAGGGTGCCCCTCACCTCAAATCTTTGCGGGAGCCTCCTTGGCGATTGGGCTACAGGCCTTTTAGTGCCTCTCACCTAGCGCGTGCCGAAGCGCTGCTGACAAAATTAGTCAGCAGGGGCATAGCGAAGCTTTGTGCACTGAAGGTCCAAGGATGCAGGAGTCCACCAAAGTTGTGGGCCTTTGAGCCCGAAACAGCCACATCCAAGATCTATCAGCCGGCTAGGTTTGGACCTCCGGTGCCTGCTTTTCTGCGCTGAGCGGAAACCGATGTTCAACTTTTGTCTTCGACGGCCCAACGGATGATCCACCATTTCCGGATCTCGGCTGTCGGCTTATGTTGCAAGAAATGTAAGCTCCTGAAACCGTTTCGAGGACACTTCAAGGTGAGAACTGACACGCTTGGACTTCGCAAACGCGTAGGGGGTTCGGCTTTCGGTTTCCGTTTGGTGAACAGGGAAGGTCTCAAAAGAGACTCGGCGAGACATGCCAAAGTTGTCCAGCAGCTTCTTGGCTTTGTTCTCGTTCTTGTGGTTGCGATTAAGTCTGGGGTTTTAGGACGTCGGATTCCGGGTGTTTGGATCGAGGGATCAAGGTGAAGGGGTCAGACCGGATTTTCGGCATCTTATGCTGTGCAATCCTATCATCACTCGTCATATGTTATCATCGAATATCTTGGGTGCGTGGGACGATCTCTGAGATCCCAATACCCCTTAATTAAGGAATATACCTTAAACTAAAGTGGGCGTAATATTATGGCTTGACGTATACTCCTCAATTAAAGGGTATTGGGATCTCTGGAGAAGTGGGCCACCGTCTTGTTCTCAGTGATCGACTTCCTGCCGCCTCTGGACAGGACGTCTGTGACCCTCACTGTCCCTCCAGCCAAGAACCGTCCGGTGCCCTAAACCCTGTATTCCACACCATGGAAACTTAAGATTTCTGAGCCCCCAATGCACGAGGAGTACTGCACTTGGCCATGGTACAGTAACAAAATGCTAGTTTGGGCAAAGTGTACAGGCCTGAGGGTTGAGGACTCCAAAAATCAAATCGAAGCCAAGGCTGATCGTCTTCGGGGATGCACCCTGGCGATGCGATACAAAGTCCTCGCCGGAGAGTACTCCGAAGTATTGCTGTGAAAAGCGACGCCGCCCGCGCCGGGTTCATCCATGTCTGCCGCAGTTCCGAGTTCAGGCAGTGCATTTAACCTAACAATTATCCTAGCTCCCCTGATGCCGCCTCAAATCTCGGATCTGCCAATTAAGACCGCCGTTCAGCCCATATAAGTCATGAGCCTGTTGCGCAACCCTTGGAGCCACCGCGCCAAAGTCCCAACATGATCGGGGCTAAGTTAAGCCTAACGCATGCATAGACAGATCGACAGATAGACAGTCAGATAGATAGATGTTTGTGTGTACTTGTATATATATATATATATGTATATATTTGGAGTGCGTGTGTGTGTGTGTGTGTGTTTATATATATATATATATATACAGATGTATGGGTAGTGTACACATAAGCACATCATATGTATATATACCGATATGTACTTACATACATGCATACATGCATACACACATACAAACATACACGCATCGTTACCTACGTACGTACCTATATATATATATATATATATATATATATATATATATATATATATACATACATACATACATACATACATACATACATATATACATACATACATACATACATACATACACACATACATATACACAGACATGCCTCAAACGTTTCAGCAGCAGAACGAATCAGACCCGCATGCGCATGTTGAGGAGGCAAGTTTCATCACAATCTCGAGTGGCAGAAGCCGTGGTCTCAGGAACCAGGTGTTGACTTCGGCTGGCTCCTGCCGAAAATCAGGGGTTCAGGGCTTAGGGCGTAGGATCTAGGGTTTAAGATCGTATCCTATCCTAGCCTTTTGAAATCATAGCATAGCACGATTGAAAATTGTCGTATATCAAGGATGAGCTACTACCTGTCTGGGTCGGAAGAACTGTTGTTAGTATCCCCTTATTGTCTTGTACATAGTCGTACTAGAAAAGGTTCGACACAGGGTTTTCTAATTGTTATTCAGAAGGAACCCTTCAGAGGAACCCGAAACCCCGGTTCCAACCATTGTTCAGACCGCTACATGTGTACATATATATATATGTACATATATATATATATATGTACATATATATATATGTACATATATATATATATACATATATATATATATATATATACAGATTGATATTGACCTTGCTTGACCTTGCAACCTTGGAGAAAACCCAGCCAAGGTTTCCTGACAGTGACGTGCTGCGACCTCATTGCACGATTGCGGTCCGAGGCACCCTGAGGTTTCATAGGGTTCCGTACAGGGAGCCCTTAAAGGAACATGTCAATTCATGGGGCTCCTTTAAAGGAGCCCTTGCAGGAACCTCCAATAGATCCCTCTAGGGATCTCTGAAAGGATTCCCTAACAGGTTCCCTGGGAGGGTTCCTTTAAGGAGATTACCCCTCAAATCCCGTGAAGCAGGCTTCCTTTCAAGGACTCTTTGGAGCGTGCAGTAGGGGTTTCTACAACAGGAACGATGGGGTTTTCTACAACGAGAGCTATACTTTAGGAGGCAGATTGAGATCTGGTCTGCTCTTCTTTAGGGCGCTCTCATGGGTCCTGTTGCTTTGGTGATGTAGAACTATGCGTATCGAAAATTCTGGGTTGCGGCCCGAAGCCCGAGAACCTTCGAACTAAAGGCTTTCGCTCAAATCCCTACATATTTGAGTTTCCGAAACTCAGGGGTGCATAATTTTGGGGTCCTTGTAGTAACAATCCTTCCTATCTAGGGTACTGTATTAGGCTATCAGGGTCCCCTATTTTCGGAAACTCCCATATTCCCGGGACAGCTACATCCAAAACCCTGCGTACAACCTTGTGAAGAAGCGGCAAGCTCATCTGATGCCAGACGTGGACTACCTGGTGCAAACTCCTCCTGGGGAGGAGCTTGACGATCTGGGCTGTTGCGTAAGCGAATCTGAGCGCTAAACCCTAATGGCTTGTGGGGTTAGGGCTATACACTCCTTTTTTGAAGGCAATGTCCGACCTGACCCTGTGTTCTTGTCAGCAACATGCCTCAGAAGAGAATTTCCACGCCTTTACTGCTTGTGCACTGAAGCTCCCAAGACCTAAACCATTGAGGCTCGCCCGACATACGTTTCTGAAAGGGTCCTTGTACCCAAACAGTAGACACTTTGGCCCCAAAGTGCCTGTATAGGGACTACTTTACGGCCAAAGTATGTACTGTTTGGGTACATTAGGGGTACCTTAATCTTATATGAAGGATCCTACTGTTTTATTTAGGGTACGATATTAGGGTTCCCTATTTGCGGAATCTCTTAAAGTATCTATACAAGAACTCCTTTAAGGCTTAAGTATATGCTACAGTAGGTCTTAAACCAATCTGAGATACGCTGGAGCCTGGAGTCTGGGCTTTGGGTTTAGGGTTTAGGGGTTAGGGGTTTAGGGGTTAAGGGCTTGGGGTTTAGGGATTTAGGGTTTAGCCTCCAGGGTTTGGACCTGAGGATCCGGACTGGGTCGATGCCTCGACCCCAGAAACCTTAGGGGTACTTAGAAACAGTTTTTAATTTTGGGTTATTATAATCCCTAAGAAACAGCTAAAACTATTTTTTTGCTAGGGTTCTAAGTTCAGTATAGAAACCTTTCTGGTGATTCCTGTTTCTAGGGAGTTGAACTAATGAAGCATCTCTGTCTCTAGGAAACTCGATAAAAAATATGCGAAAGATCATCAATATGGGAGTTTCCGAAAATTCGGGGTACCTTATTTTGGAGCCGCTAGTAAGGATTCTACTATTTAGGGTACTGTATTAGGGTCCCCTATTTTCGGAAACTCCCGTGTAGAAGATCATCATATATGGATAGTTTTGCCCTTGTGAGTCTTGCGAGGAGCCACCCTCACTGCTCAGCGCTTTCGAGGCCCAGCCGACTGCCGCGAAGAAGGCCCGTGTGGTAGGGCGGATGTAGGGTTTAGGATTAAGGGCGTATGGTTTACGATTCAGGAGGATGTTCATTTCCATGCTTGTAGTTAGTGTTGATGTTCCCGTTTTTGCGGCTTCCGTTTGTCGTAGTCTCCTCTGTTTCCGCTGCGATCAGGCTGATGCTTGGGTTTGTGGGCTGTTTAACATGCACCTTGAAAAACTCTTAAGTGCGTAGGTGTGTATGCTAAGTCGTGCTACTTGTCCAGCTGAACCATCCGCCCATGGCCCCTCAAATGCGGAAGTCTCCAGTCTATCCTCCAGTCTGCAACCACCATGCCCTCAGGTTCCAGACACCCAAACAGTATATAGTTTGGCCTTAAAGTGGTCCGTATACAGGTACATTGGGGCCAAAGTATATAACATTTGGGCACATGGACCGCTAGGGATAAGTTCCCACTCACTACACGTCCGCATGCCTCCCGCCTGAACCTTACATAAATTTGCCCTACAAAACCAAAGGAACCCTTGAAGGAACCCTTCTTGAGAATCTGCTTTGCAGGCGATTGGCGCCCTGTCTGCAGTCAGGCAGTTTGGAGCTGACCCATCCATACCTGAACCTCCTTATCCTAGTAGTCGAGTACCTTTAACCTTTTTTGGGTAGTATAGTCCCTACATAATCCCTTTATTTTACCATGATACCCGACAAGTAGGTTATAGCATCCCTTGCTGGGGTTCTTTACTCTTGTTCTTCTTAAAAGTAAACTTTGCAAACCTACCATTTCGGGGTTCCCTCGTCTGACTTCCTTGGAGGCGTGTATTTGCTAGGTAGCTTGTTTGGGATTAAGCTAGTTTCGGAGACTTCACCGGAAAAGACCAGGGGGCGAAGCTAGAGTTCAGGACTAAATGGGGATTCGGGTTTGGAGTTTAGGATTTTAGGGTTTAGGGTGCAGTGTTTGTTTTCTTTCTGGTCGTCTAGGTTTAGGATTTAGGGTGTAGGGCTTTGGGGGCCGAGGGTTAAGGGTTTCGGTGCTGGCGATTCCGCACTTATGATCGGTAGGACGGTCGGCCACTTCGTCCTGGAAGCCGTCGTTGAAGGCAAAGCCCCAATCGCCCCAAACACAGGGCCTTACATCAACGGTTTAGGGTTTAGGGCCTACATGAGCCTTAAACCCAAAGATGACTCATTGACCCACTCTTTAATGTCATGACCCTATACCTTAAACAGGCAATGCTTTAACAAGGCCCAGTCCCCACTAGCTCGAATGCCCTCAGCCAGAAGCCTCTAAACCCTAAACCTCTAAACCCTACACCCCTAAACCTCTAAATTCTAAACCTCTACGACCCTACTTTCCTCCAATACGCGAGAAGTTCCGAAACCCCTCCTCCGACCCCGGCGCTGAGTCTTCAACACGACGGATACGATTACCTTGGCCTGGTGGAGCAAGTATGCCGCCCAAAGGGCTTCGGTTTAGGGTTTAGGATTTAGGGTTTAGGGTTTAGGATTTAGTGGTTTTGGGGTTTAGTATTTCGGGTTTAATTAGGGGCTTAGAGTTTAGGGGTTTGGGGTTTAGGGTAATTATACTAGGGTTTAGTATTGAGGTAGGGTTCAGGGGTTAAGGGTTTGGGGTGTATGGTTTGGGGGTTTTGAGGTTTGGGTTTAGGGCTTCGGGTTTCGGATGCTGGCTCATGGGACGTAGTAAGTAAGGTTATAAGTAGGTTATAATTAGGATAACCCCACTTAGGGGACTTTATAACCCCAAGTATAACCTACTTACTAAGTCCCCTGCCCCTCCAAGTAGGGTTTTGGGGCTTCGACTTATTCTGGAGCTTTAGCCCTAAGGGTCCATGTATCCATATAGTATATACATTGGCCTTAAAGTACTCCCTATATAGGTACATTGGGCCCAAAGTATATGCTATATGGGTACATGGACCCTTAGGGTAGTCTGCCGGCCAGAGGGCGGTGTGTACTTTTGGTGCCTTAAGTAAGGGCTCAACAACTTGAACATGGCAGATCTCCTTTGAATCTTAGTGGGCTTCTAGTGAAACCGCTAAATCGACCCGGGACTTTGGAAGGAAGTGCTACATTTGGGTTCTAAGTGTTCTGGTAGGGGTTTAGGGTGACGCTATTCATGTCCCTGATGCCCCACTTGCCAAGGTCACTGGCGCTCGAAATAGGGTTCTGCTTTTGCTAAGTCTGATACAGT